TTTAAAAACGTTTTTTTTTTTTTTTTTTTTTTTTGGTATGCAGACTCGCTGAAAGTCATCGAAGCGTATGGAGACTTTTACCGGCAAATGGTGGAAGGTGGCCATCAAAGGTAATGCACAACGTCTGAGCCATTACCCATTCTCTTTTTCTATCAGTTCTCTTCCTCTGTGTGGATCACTGCTCAGTGGCAGCAGCAGCGGCTACTGCAAACTGCAGCTAACTGCAGGAAACGGTAGCAGAAAAACAGCACAGGGAAGCAAACTGGAGCAAACTGCTGGAAATTGCAGCAAACTGCAGCAAACTGGAACAAACTGCAGCAAACTGCAACAAACTGCAGCACAGGGCAGCAAACTGCAACAAACTGCAGCACACTGCACCACACTGCAGCAAACTGCAGCAAACTGCTATGAACTGCAGCAAACTGGAGCAAACTGGAGCAAACTGCAGCAAACTGAGGCAACCTGCAACAAACTGCAACAAACTGCAAGAAATTACAGCAAACGGCAGCAAACTGCAACAAACCGCAGACAACAATCGAACAGCAGCAAACTGGAGCAAATAGGACCAAACTCCAGCAAAGTGCAGCAAACTGGACCAGACTGGAGCAAACTGCAACAAACTGCAACAAACTGCAACAAACTGCAACAAACTGCAGCATATGGCAAGGACCTGCAGCGACTACGGTTTGTCCTTGTTTTGGAGATGATATGATAGCTTCTTTGGCTCATACTGCTCATTTCTCGGTTCAGGGATTGTTCTTTATTTTTTTTATATGTGTGCATTCTCTTTCTTGCTGACGGAAAATCAACTGGCATGCGCCTTTGGCCTTCCATACTTAGGCCCCGGGTGTGCTTCATAAAGTCAACCCGCATGGTCATTGTAAGTCAGCTTAAGCGGTCTTTTTTTTTTCTTTTTTTTTTGAAGTGGTCATTTTGGGTGATAAAGTCAATAGAAGTGGTCAGTCTTTGGCGACGAAGCCACTGAGGAGGAAGAGTCGGCCTATTCATATCTTGGTATGCGTGCTTTGTTGTCCCTTGAATCCCTGGTGCATCCGAGGCAAAATTCACGAGCCCTTGATCCCTCCTGCGTGCCAAGCTTTGCCAAAACACCTTTTTTTCTTTTTTCTTTTTTTTGAGCTTTGCCAAAATGCCAACGCGGTGTTTTTGTTTTCTTTTGGCTGGCTCCGCCAGCTGTTTTGGTCCAGTAACCATGTTCGTCCGAACTTTTCAGATTGGTCAATCGTGATTCTCAAGGTGGTTGGGGCCATGTGGTGGTGGCTTGGACCACCACCGCTACCTTTCCCAGGCAACACCAAAAATCGGAAATGCAACATTCCGTGTTCTTTGGAGGCTCGGGGCTACGGGACCCCGATGGCTGGCAGTGTGAGCCAAAAGGAAAAACGAAATGCTGCGCCGGCGCTTCGTCAAAGCTTGATGGAATCCACCTCCGCAAAATAGAGGTGTGGAGGTATATCGGTGGTTTATACCACGAGTCCCTCTCCCGGCTATTTTGTTCCGGTGGCGCTGGCAACCGGCGGATATCTGGGGGCTTGGCCTAAAGCATGGAAAAGGCTGCCGGCGCCACGCAAAGAGTCGCAATTTTGCGTCTGCAGTGGTTCGGTTTTTCGTTGGGGCGCGCCTCGGAAATCGGGGTTGGGAAAAGGAGTAGGCTCGGAGGAAGTGCAGTCCCCGTGCTTGAGGACGTGTCGCATAGAGTGGCCCTTTTTTTTCTGGTGGGTAGCTGAATTAGACAAGTTGCGCGTGGTGGAGGTCCCTGAGTGCCCTGGCGGCGATGCTGGTTTAATAACAAGGGACAGGTGGTTAAGTAATTATCGTTACAAGCGGACCTGCCGCAGCTACGCTGCGGCCGAAGCGGGGGGGGATGAAGGAGAGGGAGGAGATTGTTGTAGGATGTGGCCGTTGCAGACCTGCAGGCTGTCATACATCAAAGAATGCAAGATCGCAGGCAACAGGCAAGACACAGTTGATAGATGGATCCGGTTGTTAGACTTGGGAGGGTGTGGAATAACGTGCGATACAACTGGCAATGTAGATTTACAGATGGCAGGCAGCGTACAGTTGCGAATGAGATTGGACATTTGAGAGATGTATGCTGTCTGTATGTCTCGGTATGTCTGGGAAAAAAAGGGAAAAACGATTGTTGTGCAGAGGCAATCACCTTCTGTTCTGTTTCCTTGTGTTTGTCTCTCTCTCGCTCTTCCTCTCTCTGTCTCTGTCTCTGTCTCTGTCTCTGTCTCTGTCTCTGTCTCTCTCTCCCCCCCCCCCTTCCCCCCCCTCTCTCTCTCTCTTTGTGTCTCTGTGTGTGTGTGTTTGTCGAGAGGAGCAAAGAGTCGTCTGACTGTTTTGTCCTCTTGTAAAAAAACATTGGAGTTGTCTCACTTCTATTTCTTTGTCTTTGTACAATACAAAGAAAACTTGTGTGGATGTGCAATCAATTACAGTTCTCTTTGTCAGCCTCCCTTTATGATTGAACGAAGTCTCTCTCTCTCTCTCTCTCTGTCTCTCTCTCTCTCTCTCTCTCTCTCTCTCTCTCTCTCTCTCTCTCTCTCTCTCTCTCTCTCTCTCTCTCTGTTTGCGCGTGTTTCTCAGCAGTGTATATTTCTATGATGTAGCGGCAGATTTATTTGAGACCGGCTGCAGTTGCGTCACTTCTGTTTGTTTTTGTTTTCATAGAATACAAAAAAAAAGTCATGTGGATGTGCAATCGATTGCACATCTCTTTCTTTGTCTCCCTTGGCGACCGGATGAAGGTATACACGGGGATAGGGGGCCTGGGGGCGCGGGGCTGTTTCTCTCTCTCTCTCTCTCTCTCTC